GCTCCCCATTCTGGAAGGACGCAGCAGGTGGGAAGCCCAGGTCCTGGGGGGTAGGGGGGGCACACACAGCCCCCCTGCCCTCTCTGCAGCCCACCCTGTTCCTCCATCCTCTGGCCCAAGGGGCGCTGCCCCCCACCTCAGCAGGGGAAGAGGCACCAAGCATTGTTGGGGTGCAGGGAGCAGACACCTCTGTCCGCCTGCACCTGGGATCTGCTCTCCGGGAGCCCTACAGAGAGGACCAGGGCTCAGCCCCAGGGGTCTGCAGGGGGGCGGGGTTCAGCCTGGCGTAGAACCATCCAAACCTCAGCAGGCCCCAGGCACCTTCCCAAGGTCCCCAGAGCACCCCCAGATGTGGAGGGACAGACTCTGTCCAGCACAGGACCGGGTGGCCCTCGGGAAGCCGGGGCAGCCTCCGCTCTCAGGGTGGGGCATGAGCAGGGCCGGGAGCCTGTCCTCGGCCGGGCGGGCCACACACTTGGGGGGGGGTGAGTTACCTGCGGCGTCCTGAACTAGGGGGGCGTCCCTTTTTACTGGAGTGGCGGTGGCGGGCGGGCTGCCGTGGGGGTGGGCCAGGCCCCGGGGGGCTCCGAGGGCGGCGCTGAGCAGAGAGTAGGAGAGGCAGGGGGGGGAGAAGAGGCAGGGCAGGGAGGGGAGGGGCGCCCGGAGCAGGGCCGCCGAGAAGGAGGGGGGCGGGGGGTGCTGCGGAGCCAGGCGGGCAGCCTCGTCACCAGCGGCAGCAGGAGGAGGAAGAGGAGGAGGAGGAGGAGCCGGACAGCCTGGAGCGGGCGGAGAGACGCAGAAACAAACCAAAAACAAAAACAAAACAGAGACACAGAGAAGAACCCAGATGAGAAACGGATGGTGGGGGGCGGGGCGGGGCGCGGTGGACAGATGAGAGAGGTGCCACAGAGAGGGGGGAGAGAGAGGGGGCGGGGGAGAGTGGGGGGGCGGGCCTGCGCTGGGGGCGGATGGGGGACAGCCCCGGGGGCTGGGGCCACTGCTTTCCTCTGAGCTCGGAGAGGAGCGTGGGGGACCCTCTGGGCGGCGCCGGGTGCTCCGTGGTACGGCGGCCCCTCACCTGCCGCCGTGCTCTCATTGCCCACGGGGGTGCTGGAGCAGCTGCGGTCCATGGTGGACGACCCCGAGGACAGGGCGCCCGGGCTGCAGCCGGTGTGTTCCATGTACTCGTCCGGCTCCGTGTCCAGCAGGCTCGGGGGGCCCTGCGAGGAAGCGAGGGGGGGGGGTCCTGAGGAGGCCGGGCAGGGTGACAGTGTGGCCGGCAGGGGCGGTGGGGCGGGCGGGGCGGGGCGGCACCTGGGCCGGGGGCGCGCGGTCAAAGTTCTTGCCCAGCATCCTACGCATGTGCTTGCGGGCGTGCGAGGTCATCTGGTGCTTGAGCAGGAAGGAGAACTGGCAGCCCTCGCGGATGCAGTGGAAGTGGCTGTTGACCTGGTTGTACTTGCAGCCTGCGGCGACACAGGCCGCATCAGGGGCGCTGCGTGGCCCACCCTCCTCCTGCCAGCTGCTCCCCCCCCCCCGAGAGCCCAGGACCCCCAGGACCTGCCCCCGCGGCCCCTGTCCCCTACCTCCAGGGAGCCCCGTTCCCGGGGCCCCGCCTGCCCCGGCCCTGCTCTGGCCAAGTGCCCTGGGCAGGCGGCGGCAACTGTGGGCAGAGGGCAGGTGAGGGCCTGCCCGTCACCATGGCACCCGGGCTGGCCAGGTGTCTGATATCACCCGCAGCTTTGTTTGGCCGGGCTACCACCCAAAACACCCCGAGTTGAGTCAACAGGCAAGTGCGGGTCCCGGGGCCGCCACGCGCTGACATCTGTTGCCATGGTCACCCGCCCGCCCTCGCCGGCCCCCAGTTCTCGTGGTCGGGATGTGAAGAAAAGGTTGTTTCCTCCCTCTCCCGGCGGCTGGCTTTTGAAGCACTGACCCTCCTCCCTGCTGGCAGCAGCCGGCCTCCCCCTCCTCAGCTCCACCCCCCAACCCCGTCCCGGCTGCCATGGTGACCGGAGTCCCAACAGGGCCACCCCATGACCCTCCTGCACTGTCCAGCAGGTGGCCCCGCCGGGAGGCACGAGGAGTGCCGCCCAGGGCCTGAGGGCGCGGGACCCCCGCCCCAGCCCCACCGCCAGCCTCCGCAGGGAGGCCGCCCAGTCCTGGATGCTGGGACTGGGTCCCTCCAAGGATGAAGTTCTCAGTGGCGACATGGGGTGGGTGCCAGGTACTGGGTGCAGGCGGCTCCTCCCTCCGCACGCCCGGGTCACGGGTGCTCTGTGCCTGTCCCAGCAGGTCCCTGGCACCGAACACTGGGAGGCTGGCAGTTGCCCCCCACCACCCCGCCCAGAGCCCCGCACCCAGCCGCCTCCCGGTCCCTGCCAAATCAGTGAATGAGCCGAGTGCCTGCAACGGAAGCCAAGGAAACAGACCCCAGGGGCGGGGACACAGGCCCGGGGGACTTTCCCCAAGGCCCCTGGGAAGAGCCACGTGGATGAGGTGTGCCCAGGGACACCCAGTCACACCTGTTTCCTGGGCTTGCAGCTCGGGCCCTGTCTGTTTCTGCTCTGACAGGGCCTGGCCTGCGGGATCCGTGACTTCCTCAGTCATGCTGAGGGGACCCAGGCACCCTCCCGAGACACTCGGGCTGCAGAGTTAGGCCCAGCTTTGCATGGGGTGTGATGCCAGGTGAGGAGCTGGCCCCAATGCGTGTCAAGTATCCCCCTGGCCGCTCACGGTCCCAGCCCTCGTCTGTGACATCGGGGTCTGCTGGGCAGGAAACGAGACCCCTCTCCACACCCCAGCGGCTGCCTTCTCCCGGGATGCAGTACCTAGCCGGCCACACTCCTCGCGCTTTGTGAAGTACTTGAAGCCGTTGGCCGCCCGCCGCTCGGCTTTCTCGTGCTTCTTCAGGTGCCACGGCAGCTTGGTGGTGATGTTGGTCACGAAGTAGCAGCCCGTACGCAGGCAGTGGTAGTGCCCGCGCAGCCGGAACTCGCAGTGCTGCGGGAGGGACGGGGCTCAGGCCAGGCTGGGGGTACCCCCATCGGGAACCGCCCTGAACTGCACTCCCAGGTTCAGTGCAGGGGAACCCCACCCCCATCCCACAGAGGCCTTTTACGATAAAAAATAAAAAACGATGAAAAAAAAAAAACACTCTTGCTTGTGTCCTTTCAGCACCGGGCTGAAATCTGGTGCCTGGCAACCTTGCGGACAACTGTCTGTCCACCCAAGCACTGTGAGCTTGCTGACCAGCAGAGGTGGGAACCCATCCCTGCACTCGCCCCCAGGCCTGTGCCAGGGCAGACATCACCAATCCATCCCTGCACTTGCCCCCAGGGCAGGCATCACCAATCCATCCTGATTCTGTCCGCCCCTCCCTAGTAGACGGTCCCCTCCCCGCCCGATGTGCTCTTCCAGGCAGCCCTCGTCCCCTAGTCTCTGAGGCAGGCCTGGCCGCAGAGTCTAGCTACCTCCTGTCTGGGGCAGAGACAGCTCCACCCAGCAGCCCAATGGGCCTATTTTTAAGTTCTGGGCCTCTAGGGAAAGGGAGCATGGTTCCAGGACGGGCAGACAATGCCAAGTGCACGGCAGCTGCCAGCACTCAGGCACCTCCGAGGGTTAGGACGGCGGGATGGGCCTCACCCACTGGGCACCCGTCTGGACCCCGGCCCAGGGCCTGTGGGGGCCAGCACCATCCCTCCCAGTGTCTGGAGCGGGGCCACTCCAAAAAGGGCGTGAGAAACCGGGTCTCTGCCCGGGAAAGCCGACACAGGTCCCGTGCCCTGGTGTGCACACCCTCCCTGCCCCCAGCTGTGTCCCTGCCCCCCCCCCCGCCCTGCCCACCGTACCCACCTGGTTAGGGCAGAGACACTGCAGCGAGTAGTACGCGAACTGATCTCGCACGTTGACGAGGCTGTTGTTGGGGTTGATGTGGTCCAGGCAGTGTGACTCGGCCTTGCCCGAGGTCTTGCAGACGTACTTGCAGTTGCCGAAGAGACAGTGGAAGTGGAACTTGTTGGCGTACTTGCAGTCCGTCGTGAGGCAGGGGTCGCTGCAAGGGAAGCACAGCCCGCAGGTCATTGGCATTCCCGAGGACCCACCCCGCTCGTCTCGGGGGTCTTCTCCCCTGTCCTCTCCCCGCTCCTGCCCCCGTGGCGTGGCCAAAGCGAGGGCCCCCCTCCAGTTCAACGCCACAACCCGGCCGGAGGAGACTACAGATCCCAGCATGCCTTCCTGCTTTTTTTTTTTTTTTGGGAGCGTGGCTGGGGCCAAGGGATCGCGGGGAGCGGGCAGCCCAGAGCATTGCATGCTGGGACACGTAGTTTCCATGGCCACACCTCTGGGCTACAGGCGAGGATGGCAACAGGCACTTCTTGGAGAGGAAAGTGAGGGATGGTACTGCCGGCCTGGTGTGGTGCCAGCAGGGCGCGGCCCTGCACTGGCTGAGTGACAGGGTACAGATGGCAGGGATGGGGGAGGAGGACACGGGAGCCTGGTGGCCCTGGAGCCTGGACAAGCGTGGGGTGCGTGTCTGGAGTCAGTCCTGCGGGGGCTCGCGGCTGCTGGACACCCGCCCTTCCGCCCGCCCGCCCGCCAGAGCCCCTCAAGGGCAGCAGGGCTGGGGAGTGGGAGGGGGCCGTGGCGGCCTGGCCCGGAGCTCTGCCCCGCAGGCCAGGACAGGTGCGGACGGAGCCCCCCAGCTTCTCCCGGGTGCCCTCCCCAGCCCCGAAACTATGGGGGAGGGACGGGAGGCAGGGGCTGCCCCGTCGGCCCCAGGCGCTGAGACAGGAGGACAGCGGCCACTCAGGCGAGAGTTCACATCCAATTTATTGCGTTTATTGAGAACAGGGCGCTGCACGCAGAACGATACAGAGTCCCGCCCCCGCCCGCCCCTCCCAGGGCAGAGGAGGACGGCCTGGCCCTGCCCTCCCAGTCCTGGACTCCAGCGTGGCCCGTGGGGCCTGGAGGAGACCCCTGGGAGAGCCACCCCTCCCTGCCGCAGTGCCCCTTCCTCCGGGCAGTCCTCAGGGCGTCTCCCTGCTCCCCGGGGCCACCTGCTCCTGGGACCGGGCAGTGAGGTCTGAGCCGCGACGTCCAGCGGACAGCGGACAGCAGCGGGGCCTGGGGGCGCCCCTGTTAGCACCTATGCCGACTCGCGGGGTGGGGGGGCTGGGGTGGGGGGGACACTCCCGGAAGTCACAGAGGGACTCACTTCTCCTGGAACTGGAGGAATCCGGGTTTGACCTGGGGCTTGGCGTTCTCTAGTGAGGTCGTGGCCAGGGGCGAGGCGGGCAGGTGAGGAGCTGGTGCCGGCAGCGGAGGCATCTGGGGGATGGCGGACGCCAGCTGCTTCCAGGCGAGCAGCGTGGGGGCGGAGGGCGCGGGCGCCGGGCTGGGGGTCAGTCCCTCCACCGAGGCGGCCGCGGCCGAGGTGACGGGGGGCACTGGGGGGGACGAGGGGGCCAGGGGGGGCTTGGCGTCGGCCGCGGGCGGGAAGGCACCCTCCACGCTCCCTTTCACCGTTCCTCCGTCCGTCCGGAAGTGGAAGCTGTGACGGAGAAAGCGTGTCGGGGGTGGGGGGGGCACGGGGACCGGCCCTGCCCGGTGGGGGGGCCCACACACCCGTCCAGTGCCTGCAGGAGCCGCCTGTATCTGGGGGTCCCTCGGGGGCTCTCAGACGCTCTGCAGCCTGTGCCCGGGTGATGCGTTCATCCTCGGTACCCCCCCCCCCCCCACTCAGTCTCTGTTCTCAGGAACACCCAAGGCTTTTCGGGAGCGGGAGGGTCTATTTCAAATGTCCCGAGTTCTGGGTTCGATTACTGCAGGCGGCTGCACCCGCCCGCCGCGCCCTGGGCCTGCCTGGGCTCTGGGAGTTGACGAATCAAGTTCATGGTGTTTTTTAGCTCAGGCAGAGTCTAGGGAAGCCACCGTGCGGCTGTGGGGGGGAGGGGCTCCTGCTGGTGGGGGGTGCCCGGCCTGGGGGTGCAGGGGACCCCCATCCCGCAGGCAGGCGCCCACTCACTTGGCGTGCTTGATGGCTCCGTCCAGGGTGCTGAAGAGCGCCCCGCACTCCTCCACCACGCAGTGGAAGTGGGCCTTGTGCAGGAAGTCACACTGCGCGTCACACACGTCCTTGGTGCCGAACCTGCGGGGGGGGGGGGGGGCGGGGGAGGGTTAGAGCCGTGCGGGGGTGTGTGTGGGGGGGAAGGCGGGCGCGGGGTGGTGGGCCCCTCACCTGCGCAGATACACTCTCCAGGGCTCCGCCAGTTTCTCCTGCACCAGGGCCTTCACCGCCTTGCCCAGGAAGGGGCCCGAGTCCGCCGAGGGGCTCCCCTCCCCCTCCGTCGGGACGCTTAACAGGCTGCCGAGGTTGGAGCTGCCCTGAGACATCTGAGGAGGAGGACAGGGGCGTGCTGGGGGCCGGGGGGGCTCAGGACACGCCGACCCCGCGTGTGGGCTCTGAATGATTCCCTCCACCCTCCAGAAGGGTTCGGATCCGTTGGTCAAACCGGGGCCAGGACCCGCCTCACTCCCCTGACTCAGAAGCAGCCCTGGTGAGGTCCCTGCCGGGTTTCCTGAAGAAGAGCAGGCGGCGGGGGTGAGGGGTGGGGGGAGTACTGGGAACAGGATGACCAAGGAGGGGTGCGGCGGGGGTGCTGAGGAGGCCGCGGGGGCAGTGGCCACTGGACCAGAAGGTGGGGCTGGAAGAAGGCTCCGACCCGCTCATGGGGGTGGGTGTGGGGCTCGGGCAGGGAGAAAGGAGGCTGAGGAGTGGGCACTGAGCCCAGGAGGCAGAGCAGGGCAGAGAGCCCGTGGGCGGGTGTGGGAGTGGGGCAGCGGGACCCCAGCCCGTGAGGTCGCCGGGCCGGTCCCCCGCAGGCTCTGTGTACAGTGACCCAATTAATCTTGCTGTAGTCAAATGCATCATGTGAAGGGGGGGAGATATATTTGAGATGATGTATAATTTACAAAGACCCTGCATTATTTAAAATAAATATTCCGGGCGACCCTGCGCAGGCGTCCGGGACCATTACTCAACCGGAAAAGTGGAGACCGATTCTCGGCTCCCACTTCAGCCCCCCAACCCCGGCCCCCTCCAACCACAACAAAAAAATAGATATAAAATAAATAAATACAATTAATAACGAGCAGCGAGGGGAGTTAGAAGGCTCGGGGAAAAGGCTCTGGGAGCCGGCCCTCCATCTGAGGGAAGAAAGGGTGTCACACGCTGGAATATATTTCTTCAGCCAGTTCATTAAATTAATTTGTAAGCAGTGGCTCTGAAATTATATCCGATGAAAAATGGCCTCAAAATTTAAATGGTACAAACTCATCTTATTAGAGGCAAAACATTAAAAAACAAACACATCCCCCCCCCTCCACAGCCCCCAGCCCAGCTTTAATTTCTCGGGGTGGGGGAGAGGAAGGCGTGTGATGGATGGTTCTTACCTTATTCATAAGCGAGGATAAAAGAGATGAATTTGCCGGGACTGCGTGGCCATTTGATTCATTGCTGGAACACACAAACCACGTCCCCGGGCGTGGGACAGAGCCCAGTCCCCACACTGCCCCGGGGCTTCCGGTCCCCTTCTGGCCCGGCCTGGGGCAATGGCCTGGGGCAGGAGGGGCCCCACCTCTGGCCTCTGGTCAAGGCCCCGCTGGGCCCCACTCTCTGCCTTACCTGGGCTCCTTCAGGGTCAGGTCTAAACTGCGGTCGGCGGCCTCCTGGGGCCCTGGGGTGCCCGTGTTGTCTCCTGCCTCTGCCTTCGCGGGGGCCAGAGGGAAGCGGGTGGGGGTGGCCTGCTGCCCACTTCCTGCGGGGATGGGGGGGATGCCGGTGTGAGCAGGGCAGGGCTTCCCAGGTGGACACGCCACCACCCCGACCCGGGGGGCCTCTGGCCGGCGCCTCTCGCCCTGACGAGATTGGCCGTGACGTGGATGCCGGGCGGCAATTCTTCAAGTGATAATTATTGCGGAATTATGTCAAAGTCGTCCCAGAGAGCAGGGTGGGAGGCGGGCGGGGGCTGGGGCGGGGGCCCTCCATGGCCCCCCCACCAACTGTCAGAGCCAATTTGCGGTGCTGTCGCTTGGGCTTTTATTAAGGACGGTGTCGAAGCTGAGGGGAAGTGGCAGATCCAGGATGGGGCGCCCCTGCCGCGGGCGGGCCGGCCCCTGGTTGCCAGGGAGACAGCCGGCCCTGAGCGGTGGCAGCCGGTCACTGCAGCCCCGGCCTGAGACTCAGCCCACCCGCCAAACCATCCAGGGCCCGGCCAGCCTCTGGGGCTCCAGGGGGACTTCAGAGGCCTGGGCTAGCCTGTGGGGAGAGCAGGGGCAGGTAGGGCCAGACCTCGGGTGGTCAGAGAAGCTGCTGACCACAGCCGTGGCCCCGCCATCCCTGATGACTGGAATATCCGTCTGCCCCCTTGCGCTGGGACCGACACATAAGTGCCCAGACACCGGTGGACAGAGCAGGTGGCACCTTGTCAGGAGTGAAGGCCCTTCCCCTGCCCTTTCTTTGGGGGAAAGGAGATTTTCTAAAGAGAACAGATTCCCAGGGAATCTCTGAGCCTGTCTGGAGGGCCACGCCCTGGCCACCCGCAGCCACCTCTCACTGGAGGGACCTGGGGATCTGCTGTTTTCAGACCTCAGAGTCCACCTTCACTGCCCTCCCTGCCCCCGAATCTCCCGCCCCCAGGTTCCCAGGAACTGACCCAAACGCTCTCCCAGCACCCTGTGCTCCTGGGCGGGGCCTGGGCCTCCTCCCGGGGACACACTCGCCCCACAGACTTGGGTCTGTCTATTCCCTGCTTCATCCCCCGCTGCTGATCCTGTGCCAGACACTGCGGGAGGCGGTGTTCCCATCCCTCTGCCCCAAGCCCTCTCAGTCTGGTCCCCAGGGTAGTGGGCAGGGAGGGCAGCCACGATTCCGGCAAGGAAAGGAGAGAAGATACAGCCACGGTCCAGGCAAGGGAAGGGCGTCAGGCCCCGGGGTCTGGGCAGTGGACGTGGGGGGCGAGGGCCCAGCACTGGGGTATAGTCACAGCTGCAGGCACTCCCCTGGAGATTCACAGGGCCACGCGTGACCAGTGTCAGCTGTGCTGGGCAGCACCGTGGATGGATAGCTCATGGACACACTTGGCCTCGAGGGACTGCTGAAGAATGGCTCCACCCATGGACCCCTACAGCATGTCACCCTGCCCTGGGCCTGACCCAGGTCCCCTCCTGGGCACCGGAGGCCTCTGGCAGCTGTGGCCCCAGTTTGTGCCCATCAGGGTCGGACCGGTGGAGCAGGAGGATGCCATGATGCGGCTGGTATCCCCAAGGCCGCGTCCTCGCCCACTTTCCCAGAGGAAACAGAAGCTCCTAGTTGGGGCAGACAGGGCGAGGGACAGAGCCTCTTCCCAGCCACCCCCATCCCAGCTCTGCTCTGGACCCCGAGACCGGCGAGCCTCGGGCAGGGCCTGGCACTCACCTGGGTCAAAGGTGGCCGAGGGCTTGAGGGCGGCCGCGGCCAACCTGGCCATCATGGGCGAGATGAGGCCTTTGCTGGCGGAGATCCTCTCCATGATGGAGGCAGTGGGTGCGGGCACCGAGGCGGCCGCGGCCGGGCCCGGTTCGCCCCCTCCCGAGGTGGCCAGTGCAGGGGTGTCGGGGGCAGCTGAGGCAGCCGGCCCGGAGGACATGGCCCCCAGGAGGCCGGGGGCGCCCACGGGCAGCGCGGCCGTGCCCCGGCCCGGCAGCATGGGGAAGTAGGACGAGCCGGAGGACAGGCCGGAGTTGGAGAGGGCGAGGGCCAGGGGGATGGAGCCGGGCAGGGCCTGGGACAGCAGCCCTGAGATCTTGCTGTTGGGGGCCTTGGTGGCGCTGGGCGTGGCCTCGGCAGCTGCGGCCAGAGAGGCCGAGGACTGCTGGCTGGTGGGGGAGGCGCTGAGGCTGGAGTTCTTGCTGCTGAGGGCCGAGAAGTCCACCAGGTCGTCGTTGCTGGACTCCTCGTGCTCCGTGTCCTTGGCGCCCAGCAGCCCGGCCGGCAGCCCCAGCACCCCGGCCGAGCGCACGTGGCGCCGCTCGTGCTTCCGCTTGTGCGAGGTCATCTGGCTGGTGGAGGTGAAGGTGAAGCCGCAGCCGGCGCGGATGCAGTGGAAGTGGTTGGTGGCCTTGCTGTACACGCAGCCCTCGTACTTGCACTCCTCGTACTTGTAGAACTTCTTGAAGCCGTCCTTGGCGTACGCGTCGTCCTTGATGTGGTAGCTCTTGTGCTTCTCGATGTCGCACTTGTTCTTGAAGGTGAACGTGCAGCCCGGGCGCCTGCGAGGGCAGGAGGCAGCAGGGAGGGTCAGCGGCCCCCTCCTGCAGCAAGGTGCTGCCCCACTGGCCCCGCCCACAGCGCAGTAGTAGTCCCGCCCACCGGCAGCACCGCCCCTGCGCCCCGCCCACAAGCCCCGCCCACAGTGCAGTATTGGCCCCGCCCACTCGCAGCCCCGCCCTAGTGCCCCGCCCACTCACAGTGCTGCCCCACTGGCCCAGCCCACAGTACAGTACTGGCCCCGCCCACCCGCAGAACCGCCCCTGTGCCCCGCCCACAGTGCAGTATTGGCCCCGCCCACTCGCAGCCCCGCCCTGGTGCCCCGCCCACTCAAAGTGCTGCCCCACTGGCCCAGCCCACAGTACAGTACTGGCCCCGCCCACTCGCAGCTCCTCCCTAGTGCCCCGCCCACAAGCCCCGCCCACTCAGTGCTGCCTCACTGGCCCCGCCCACGGTGCAGTACTGGCCCCGCCCACTCGCAGCGCCTCTGCCCTAGTGCCACCGCCCACTCAGTGCTGCTTCACGGGCCCCGCCCACAAGCCCCGCCCACTCGCATCGCTGCTCCACTGGCCCCGCCCACAGCCCAGTGTTGGCCCCGCCCACTCGCAGTGCTGCCCTACTGCCCGCCCACTGGCCCCGCCCACTCACAGTGCTGTCCCACTGGCCTCGCCACCTGCAGTGCCACCCTACTGGCCCCGCCCTCCTACAGTGCAACCCCACTAGCCCCTCCCACAGTAAGTACCCCTCTACTGGCCCTGCGCCCTCAGTGCAGCCCCCACTGGGCCCGTCACAGTGCAGTCCTACTGGCTCTGCCCAGAGGACCACCCACTGGCCCCGCCCCCAGCACCACTCACTGGGCCCGCCCACCGCGGTGGTACCCTGCCCGCCCACCTGCAGTGGAAGTGCGTGGTCTTCTGCCCGTAGAACTGGCAGTCCGCGGTGCCGCAGTCCTCAGTGGCCCGGAAGCGCTGGAAGCCATCGTTGATGAGCTGCGTGTTCTTCTTGTGGAAGTTCTCGTGGGTCATCACATCTGACGTGCTTGTGTACACCTTGTTGCAGCCCACCTGGGGGGCCAGACCGTGGTCAGCACCCTGCCCCACTGTGCACCACAGTCCACCCACCTCCTGGCGGGGCGCGGACCTGGGTACCCACACGCCTCCCCGCAGTGGAGCCCCAGGTGCCCCTGCCCGGGCTGACCCTAGTGGTCCTCAGGGACCCTGGTCTGGATGGTTTTTGTAGGGACCCGTCTTGCACACAGAGGCTGTCCCCCCATCTGCAGGCTGCCACTGAGACCCCTAGGGGGGAGGAGGGGTCAGCCCCGGGCCTGGTGGTCACCTCTAGCCCCGGGACTGGTTTGGAGGCTCTCCCTGGCACTGCGCCCCCACCCGCACCTGGGCTGGGCCCGGCCGACAGACGTTGCCATATTGAGTAAAGCTCCGTGGAATGCCAGCGCCCTCGGGGCTCCCGTGCCAGCGTCTGCACCATCTCAGACCCCCCTGTCCCTGGGCTCAGGCTGTTTCACGGAACCCTAACAACCCCCGACAAACACGGACGGCGTGGCAGCCGCCGGCAGCCCCGAGTCGCTCCCCCGGGACCTGACACCTTGAAAAAGCCCAGACTCGACGTGGCATTAAAACAAAGAATTAAACAAAAACCTCCTCAGGAACCATTTGCGATGCTGCTCTGGGTGCTAAACCCTGAAAAATGTCTGTCTGTATAAACAGCTCCTGAATCTCACCGCACCAAGTATGGCCACGGCCCCTGCGCTCACTCCCACCCCGCCGCTCCTGCCCCCGGGGTCGGGAATGGGGGTCTCTGCCGGCTCCCCGGGCGGGCATCTGCAGGGGCAGACATGGGGGGGGACAGGGCCCGGGGGCCTGCACAGGGGTCAGGCACCTGCCTATGTCAAGGGGCACCTAGCAGGCAGGGCCGGGGCCTGCATATTGGAGCAGCGCACTTGGGGGCTGGCGTGTCGGGGGCACTGCATGTGGGGACACGCAGGCTGGGGGACACGCAGGCTGGGGGCCCGCACGCAGGGGACAGGGCACGCGGGGGCGCGGCCGGGGCGGCACCTGCATGCAGTGGTAGTGTGTGCTCTTCCCGTTGAGGTGGCAGCCGTGGTAGTAGACGCTGCAGTCGTCCAGCGGGCTGAAGCGCATGAAGCCATGTTGCAGTGAGTTGTCTCGCTTCTTGTGCATGTTATAGTGGCGGATCACGTCCTGCTTGCTCGTGAACCTCTGCCGGGAGAGCGCGTGTCGGCAGGGCCGGGGCCGCCCCCCACGGGCCTGGGAGGGGCCATCCAGAAGGGACCAGAGCCCCAGGCCCTCCCTGACTTCTCCCCCCTCCCCCAGCTCTGCCCACGTGTCCCGTCCCCCGCTGATGCTCGCTGGGGAGGGTTCGACTGTGTGCCACAGCGGCCAGAATCTCAGTGTCCATCACAATATGGGGCTGTGAGAGTGAGGGCGGGGAGGAGAGGAGTCAGGACGGGTCCTGGCCACGGGAGAAGCTCCCGGGCAGCGGTTTGAGGAGCCGGGAGGCGCGTGGGCAGTGGGCAGCGCTTCGGAGTCCACCTAGAGTGTACCTGGTAGTTGCACTCGGGGTCGAGACAGTGGTAGTGCTCGCGGTACTGGTACGCACAGTGCAAGTGGCCACAGTGCTGGCTTCCCGAGAACCTGCAGAGACCGGGTGGGGGTTGGGGTGTCACCGTGTGCAAGGGAGAAGGGAGTGGGGGTGCCCCAGGGGAGCAGGCGGGGGAGGCTGGGCCCCCATCTGCCCGGAGCTGCTGCTCCCGCCCCCAGCGTGTGACATGCCAGCAGTCCATGGCGTTTCTTCCCGCACAGCATCTGTCTGGCTCCCTCCCTGTGGCCCGCTCGCTCTGCACCCAGCGCCACCGCCAGGAGCCCACGCTGCCAGCCGCTGCCGCCTCCCACCCCGGGGCTGCCAGGATTGAGGGGAGGCCGTGGAGATGTGCCCTGGGTGGGGAGCAAGCCCCCGCCCCCCGGGACAGGGAGAGCCCCTCCACACACGGATCTAAGCTCAGCTGCCAAACGGGCCATCTGCTAAGCAGAGCGCTAATAACGCCAATAATAACAGTATCAGCGGTGGAGACACAGGAGCAGAGCGCAGCTGGAAGTCGGGGGCCGGGAGGGCGGGGGCTGGACAGAACCTGGCGCCCTGGGCCCTGCCACGCGGCTCTCCACCGGCCAGGGGCCAGTTTGGGGGTTTCTGGGGGGAACCTCCCAGCCTACAGCTGACGGGGGGTCAGGGGTTGAGGCCGGCACACGCCTGGGAGGTCGGTGCCTCTGGTGTCCACTGCCCTTCTGGGGACCCAGCCCTGCTGCAGAGTCAGATGCTCCCGGCCCGGGGTGGGACCACGTCGGAGGTGGGCAGTGAGAAGCCTGGGGGCAGGCCTGCGTGGGGTGGCGGGGGTGGGGGCGGCACCTGGCCGCGGTCCCTGGGGGACCTGCTGCCCTCGCCACGGCCACGTCCCCAGGGCCTACCTGGCGATGTATTTCTGGTAAATGTTCACATCCTCAGTGACGGCGGGCTTATCTGTGGGCAGTCCGTTCCTGGTGAGGGACAGGGGACACAGCCAATCAGTGACCGGAGTGTCGGGCTGCAGCTCTGTGCCCGGGCCCTGGGGTGCCCTGCGGCCCGGCGTGGGGGTGGGGGAAGCCTGGCACCGGGTCCCAAACCCACGCCGGCCAGGGCAGGGCTGGGGCTGGAGCGGCAGCCATGGATCTGGGCTGCTGGCCGAACAGGGGTCGCTTCTGTGTGGGGGGGCCCCCTCCGGCCTCAGGCCAAGGGCTGCCCGACTCTGTCCCCAGGTCTCTGCTGGCCGGAGGGAAGGGCCAGGGACCTGCTGTTCCTTTTCCCACGGCCAGAGCCGTGCTCAGAGTGCCCCATCTGTCTGTCTGTCTGTCTGTCAGTAGCCAGGCTCAGCGCTGGGGCCCGCAGCCACCAGCCACCTGACCTGACCTGCTGGGGACAGCAGAGAAGCCTTCGAGGGCCAGGGGTCAGCGGGAATCAGGGGACAGGGGTCAGAGGGCATCAGGGGTCGGGGTCAGAGGACATCAGGGGCCAGGGTCGGGGCATCAGGGGCATGTTAAGAGCAGCCCACACGCCCCCGGCACATGACTGCGGGTGTACGGGCGGGGGTGAGGGCCCACGGCTGGTGCGTGCAGAGGTGGAACCCGTGGGTCTGCGGATGTGTGCACCCGTGTACGCGCACCTGTCTCTGTGTGCCTGTGTGTGTGGCGGGGCGTGTGTGTCCTGTGGACAAGCCTGCTGGGCGGCATGAGGGTCTGCGTGTGTGTGCGCTGGGGGTAAGCTCCAGGCCGGCCGGCGCAGGGTGGACGCGGGGCGTGGGGGGCGCCTTACTTGACGGTGGACACGGTCCCCGTGGTGATGGAGTCGGTCTTGGAGAAGGTGGACTTCAGGTACTCGGGCGCGTTGAAAGGCAGGGAGGCGGCCGGCTCGGGCCCGGGCCCGGGGGCGCTGGGGGCGCTGGGCCCACTGGCCAGGGGCGCCGGGGCCAGGCTGGGGGCCGGCGGGCCCTTGGCGGCCGGGCCCGGCTTCTGGACGGCGCGCACGTCGTACTTGGAGGGCCGGCCCACCTTGCCGGTCTTGAAGGCGATGGCCCCGCCCATGTCGGGGCTGCCCTCCCCCGGCTTGAAGAGGTGCAGGTACTTGACGTTCTCCAGGTCGTACTTGGAGGGCTTCCTGTAGGCACTGCCGTTCTGCGGGCGCAGATGCTCCCCCGTCTTCAGTTTCTGGATGAAGAAGTCGTACTTGGAGGCGCGCGCCACCAGGCCCTGCATGGGCACGCTGCTGTGAGACGGCAGGGGCAGGATGGTGGCCTTGGTCTCCAGGTGCGCGGTGCTGGGCAGCCGCAGGCCAGGCAGCGGCCCTGCGGCCTCCTTGGGCCCACGCTCGTCCGCCTTGGCGCCGAGTGCCGGCCAGCAGAGCTGCTCGCCCGCCTTGAGCTTGCGGATGTATTCCTCGTACTTGGAGAAGCGGGCCCGCTTGCCCAGCGCGTCCTCGGCGCCCGCGGGTGCGGACGAGGTGGCCGGCTCGGCCGTGCAGCCGGCCTGCAGCCTCTCCAGGCTCAGCTTCCGGGCCAGCTCGTCCCGGGTGTCGTGGTCCTCGTACCCGAACATGCCCAGGAACTCCGTCACGGTGGAGGCCGCGTAGTCCCGCAGCGAGGAGGCCTCCCCTGCGGGCGGGTGGAGGGGCGGGCGTCACCTGGGGGGGGCCTGGACCCCACCCCACGGGGAGGGGCCGGCGGGGGAGGGGCCGGGCCAGGACATGATCTATGGCCATTTGACTCACTTGTTAGGTTTTACGACTCTTAAATTAATTTGTTTTAAAAAAAAAAGTAATTAATACTGGGGTAAAATAAAACGAGTTCATCAATGCCAGGAAAATCAATTTCCTAAATGTTCTGGCCGATGGCTTTTCAGTACATTAAACAAAGTTTCATAAATGTCTCGGCGCTCTCGCCCCGGCCTAATATGAAAGAGGATGGCTTTCCTGGAAGGGAGGCCGCGTCCCAGCCTGCGCGCCAGGGGCCGGTGAGGCGGGGCCCGGCCAGGTGGGCTGGACACTCGGGCGGGGGAAGCCCAGGCTTGAGGGGGCCGCTGGCGTGGGGCGGGGTGAGCCTGGCTGACCCTCGGTGGACACAGACCCTCATCCCTGGAAGCGGAAGGGCCAGCCCATCTCCCCAGGACTGGCCTCTGGACCCTCACATGCTAACACCCCCCCACCGCGCACCCCCAGCTGGCTGCTATCTCGGCCTCCGGGCCCAGCCCCGCCCCCACCTGTCACCTTCTAGCCACCTGTCGGCTCAAGTGGCTTCTGTCCATGCAGGTGGTCTCTCTCCCCGAGGACCATCAGGGGGTGGCCAACCCATGGACCTCCACACTCCCTCCCTCCCTGCCCCCCTGGGTCAGGACACACGTGTGGCCACAGCCCCCCCGCGGCCCAGCACCCTGCCCCGGGGACTCAGGAGCTGGGGGCAGAGGGGAGCTTCCAGGTGGGGGAGGCCAGAGGTCAGAGAGGCTCGGGCCTGCAGAGCTGCCCCCTGGGCGGGGGGCCTTCCCAGAGGGGTGGGCTGGGGCGACTGAAGCCGGTGAAGCTCCAGGACCGGGGAAAGAAACTAAAAATAGGCCGAGGAGGCAGCCGGGCCTCGCTATATATGGCAGGGAAGCCGCGGCCGGGAGGGCAGGCGTGCGCGGGGCGGGCGGCAGGGGTCCCCCAGCCCCAGGAGGCCACAAGGTGGCCCAGGGGCAGACCCAGCCAGCCCTCGCTGCAGCCCAGGCTGGACACAGCCCCCCCCCCACCCCAGCCTCTCTGCCAGTCCTGCTGGACTCCAGCCAGAGGGCGCGGGCAGGGCCACCGGCCACCCTGAGGCCCGGCCCCCTGGCGGCTTCCCACTCTCCAAGGAGGCAGGAAGGAGGCCGAGGGGGGGAGCGCGAGGATCCAGGGGCTGGAGGCCCTTGTCCCTGTCCGTCCCCTCTCCCCGGGCCGCCGAGTCTCCTTGTGTGGGGAGAGAAGGGCTTTTCCTATTGGGAAGCTGAAGGTCATACTCTTCCTCATTGATCTTGCAATGTTTGTTAATTACTCTGTCACTGATGTGGCGAAGGATAATTAAACAGCTCTGTTTATATCTTATATGCATAATTATGTGGCTGTGCAGGGCTCTCCACGCGGAGGGGGGTGCCCCTCGCTGCAGGAGAAGGGGGCAGGGGAGCGGGGAGGGGGCCTCCCACCCACGTGCCCAGGACCCCTATGTCCAGAGCGCCCGTGGCCGCTCCGAGTCCTGGGCCTGGGCCCGGGAGTTCCTCCCGGGAATAAGCCCAAAGCGCCAGGCCCCGGGGGTGGGGGCAGCAGCCGTGACCCTGTGACCCTGGCCTGCCCCCAGAGCTGGTGGGACAGAGGGACAGCGGGAGCAGCTGGTGAAGGAGGCGGGAGGGCGGCTGGAGGGTCCTGAGGTGTTCGGGGCCCCACGGGTGCCCCTCTCCGGGCTGCGCGTCCACCTCCTCGTGTCTGCATCCCTCCACCCACTGCTTCCTGGCGTGGACCTCGGGGGGCAGAGCGCTGCCGACACGCACCTGACACCTGCTTGGTCGCATCCTTGCAGGCGGGTCCGTCCGGGTCCTTCTCGTCGGCGCCGCCGCCCTCCTTGGGGGGCTCGTGGCCGGGGTCCTCCTCGTCGCTGCAGCCCTGCGGCTGCACCATGTAGACGCCCTCGGGGGGCAGCTCGGGGCCCTCGCGGGGGACGCGGCCCAGCAGGGGGGCCGGGGCCAGCTCCTCGCTGTACTCCCCGTTCACCCACTTCTCGATCACCGCTCGCCTCTTGTCCTCCTCGCTGCGGGGGGCCCGGGCCAGCCCTGCCTCCTTGTCCTGGGGCCGCCGCGGGCTGCTGGCGGCCTGGGCACTGGCCTCGGCGCCCTTCTCCACCACCACCTGGCGGCTCAGCTTGGCACAGATGGCGTTGAGCTTCAGGCCGCCTTTGCGCTTGGCCGCCATGGGGGGCTTGCCTGCGGGCGGGTCGGGGCACCGGGCACCTTCAGCTGTGGGAGGAGGGGCGAGGTCAGAGGCTGCGGGCCCGGCTCAGCCACCCAAAGGTGCCCCCGTGGGGGACCACCGCCCTCCCTAGGCTCAGCCCTCCTCTGGGCCTGCACCCCCCTGGGGCACGAGCTCAGGGTCCAGACCCTGCTGACCTCGGGCTGTCTCCCCCAGAGCTGACCACAGACACCCCGAGAGCCGGGGCCTAAGGATCGTCCCCACATAACTGACCTCGTCCAGCCCGTGCCATTGGGAGCAGTTGTGTCTGCCACGGGCCCCCCTCAGTGGACACCTCCACCCGCAATCCCCTCCTGGGGACTCTACCCGACACAACTTCCGTGACCCCACGGTCAGGCTCCACCTAGGAGCACCCCACAGACCTTCTCTGTGTGCCCCGCAGTCCCTGTTCTCCGAGTCAAACAGGGCCGCGTGTGCACACCCATGCACGCATGCACGCGCACACGCACATGCACACGCACACCATGCACACCCATGCACTCACACATATGCACACACACATATATGTGCACACACGCACACACATGTTCATGCACACATCCACACCAGGGGCCAGGGCTGGGGGTGTGGCACATGCACACACACACAGACACACACAACACACACACATATGCACACACATCCACACACACACAGCACGGCCCTGACTGCCCCGTGTCCCTGCCCAGCCCGAGGAGTCACTGCTGGAACCGGGCCAAGAGCCTGGGAGCAGCTACTGCGGCTGTGGTTGGTCCGTCTGTCCGTCTGTCCGACCCTGTGTCTGTCTGTCCTGGGCACCAGATCCTGAGGAAGGACTGGGGTGGGGGCAGGGCAGACACCGCTCGCTCACACTGGCGGGGGCCTTCGGCACCCCCGGGCAGAGGTGGCCCCGAGTCTCACACTGGTCAGAGGCTGGCAGCCGCCCCCTGGGCCACTCGGGTCTCGCTCTGACGACTCTGCACCCCCAGCCCTGCAGGCCGGCCACAAGGCGCCCCTGCAGTACCCGCCCGGTGCCCACACCCTGAAGCTGCAGCCTTCACCCGAGAACGGCCGGCTGGTGCTCCCTGCTGCCCCTCACTGCCCCCCGGGCACCGGCTCTCCCCTCACTGCCCCCACGCCCACACCCCGAGCTTCTCCTTCTCCACACGGGGGGGTGCCTGCACCCACACTTCGGGCAGCGGGTCCCACGCTGCCCCCTCCCTCCATCCCTCCCTCCCGCGGAGGCCTCACCTGGTCCCCTTTGTCCCCAGGGTGGAGGAGGACGCTGGGGGGGGGGCGCGCTATTTTTACCAGGAGGTAAGCAGCCAGTGTCATGCAGACGGCAAATGAACCCATAAATATTTATCTCCAGGAAAAGGAAAGCAGGGGTTCCCAGGCCGCCCTGCTCCGCCGACCCCCCTCCCGGGGCCCCCACCCATCCTGGAGCCTCCAGCCCACCCTTCCCCGGGTCTCCGCGCCACCCTCGGGGCTGGGGGCACCAGCTGCAAGGCAGCTGCGCACCCAGGGCCCGGCCCGCCCCTGTGCGCTCCCTGGTTCCGCCTCTGGCCCCCACACCTGCCCTCCAGCTGCCGCTCTGCCCCACACCTGTCCTCCAGATGTTGGCCTCCCTCTGACTCCTGGGGCCAGGGGTGGGGGCCGGGGGGGGCGGGAGGCTGAGGCCGGGCCACAGCAGGGAAGGCTGAGGCCGTGGGAGGGGGGCTGGGGCGGGGGGGCCGCCTTCCTCCCGCCCCGCGCCAGGCCAGGGCCCCCCATAAACACACGCTACCCCCCGCGCGGCTGACCCCAGGCTCCCGTCCATGTAAACATTCCCCGGACTTTCTTCTCTGGAACATAAACGCGGCGGCCGGGCTCAATGGGAGGAAGCCATCCGTCCCGGGCCCTGTCACGGCCCCTTTCATCTCCTTCCCGCCACCAGGCTGCCCGCGGCTCTATTTACACTGGACACTTCCTCTGGGAACAATGCTGCCCGGGAGGCCGGCCGGGGTGCTCCCCGCGTCCCTGGGCGCTCCTGCTCGTCTCGGCCCTGGCAGCAGCTCAGCGGTGCCCGTGCCAGCTGGGGGGCCAGCGGTGCCCCCATCGGGGACAGCCCAGGCAGGGACCTGGACCTCCTGATGGCGCCCAGGGGCATGAGCCTCGAGGCCGGGGACGCTCAAGGGGCAGGAGGAGTGGACAGGGCCTGGGGCACCCTCGCCACCCCACTCACGCCCTGCCCTCCAGGCTCCACGGGACCAGCCCGCAGGCAGGGGTCTCTGGGGTGGGCACCGGCGCCGCACGAGTCTCTGGATCCTCTGGCCGCCTCACCAGGGCCCAGCGGCCTCTGCTGTGGAGGACACTGAGCCCCCAGCCCCAGCCTGAGCCCGGAGCCTGGCCAGCAGGACACCATGGGGTGGGTGCCCGGGTCCACCCTGCCTGTCCCCTCCTCCCCCCCACCTCCCAGTCCCCCTCATCCCGAGCCCCCTAAAGTGTTAACTGTGATGGGTAAAATGGTACAGCAGATTGCTACAATAAATAATTTACTGATATTTATAAATATTCAAATCAGCCAGCTTCAGAGACAGAACGCGAGGTCGGCCTCGGGAGAAGCCGAGACGGCAGAGCCTCACGCCTGCCGCCGCCGCTGGCCAGTTCCGCCGAGTGGGGGCTCCCCGGGCTGCACCTGGGCCCCCGCCCGGGCTGGAGGCTGCGGGGGGTGGGGGGGAACAGCCGCCCCTCTCCCTGCCAGCGCCCATCAGGCCTAGGGTGGGGGAGGCCGTGCCGGGGCGCCTGGCAGCCCCCCAGCGGTGAGGGACGTGAAGGGACCAGGCAGCTGTCAGCTCCGGGCCCGGTGCTTTATGGGCTCTGCCTGGTGACTCTGAACTCCCTGGTAGGAAATAAAGTTCTCCCCGCGCGTCCCTTCTAAACATTTCACTCAGTGGAAACGGTGTTTAAGAAAAATGAGGACATATTTCTTCCTAAGGATGCAGGTTCCCCGCCCCCCCCGGCGGCCTCACGCCCGCTGTACATCAGAGGGGGAGGCAGGGGGCAGGCACCTGGGGCCTGGGGTGGGGGCACCCCGGGGCCTCGACTCCTGACAGGCCCTTGGGGGACCTCGGGCTCCGCCCCCACGGCACCCCCTGAGCCGGAAGCGAGTGCCCACACAGTCTCCTCTGGGGTCGGGCTGGATTCCCTGCAGGTTGGTTACACGTCCAAAGTCATGGTGGGACCCTCATAAAGGTCCTCCCAAAGTCACGGTGCGACCCTTATAGAGGCCCCCAAAGTCATGGTGGGACACTCATGAAGCCCCCCAAAGTCATGGTGGGACACTCATAAAGGCCCCCCAAAGTCACAGTGGGACCCTCATAAAGCCCCCCATCAGGCCGCTCAGCTAGGAAGGCGGCCACATCGGGGCCCACCTGCACCCCCATAAGAGCTCCAACACTACGGGTTCCCAGGATCGTGAGTGGACGCCACGGGGGGTCGTGTCCAGTCTGAGGCTCCTGGGACGGTGCTGCCCCACTGGCTCGGGGTTCCTTCCCTCCCACCCCCCCACCTCGTCTGCGTCTCAGCAGTTCCCGGTGCCCGGCCACCTGTCCCCGAAGACAGGGTGTCCTTCCCAGCCCACCTCAGCCCAGATCGGAGTGTGGGGGGAGCAGAGCGGAGGGTCTCCGAGTCCCCGGTCCCCAGGGCCACCAGCTGGGGCGCGGGGGGCCCTGCCGCCGGGGCCAAGCTGCCCCCTTTGTTTATTTATTTATTATGATTTTTTAGTCCAGTTAAAAGGTTTACTATCCAGACGCGCCTAAGTGGCCTCACTTAGCGTAAGTAACTCCATAAATCAGGGCAACTGTTAGCATCCACCGCACAGCCAGCCCATCAATCTCCCCCAGGTCACAGCCAAACAGGAAGGGGAGAAAAGAGAGTCACCGCCCAGGGGAGGCTTAAAACACAGCCGTGCTGGGCTGGGCGCAGGCCGCCACGGTCACGCGTGAGCAGAGTGCCCACCACCCTGGGAAGGTGACCCACTGGGGGCTGTGGGGCGGCTGTCACGCCACCCCCAAGGGCTCCGGGCTCATCCCTTTCTTTCTTTTCTCTCTTTTTAACCTGGGGGCCACACCCCGGCTGGGATCACCCCCGGCTCTCTGCTCCGGGATCTCTCCTGATGGCGGCGTGGCGGGGTCCGAGCACAGTCGGCCACGTGCCAGGCCAGTTCCCGCCCCACACAGCCCGTCTCTCTTTTGTGTGGACCGGCCCGCCTGGGTGAGAGGGGCTGCCCAGAGGAGGGCAGGGAAGCTGGGCTAACATCAGCCAGGCCCTACCACGACACTGGGGTGGGCTGCACCCAGACCTGTGAAAGCCAAGTGGAGCTGGGGAGGGGGGGCGGGGCTGACCCCCTCCACCCGCACCTCCGTGGCAGGGACCCCGAGCCGGCCCTTCCCAGGCCCAGGAGGGGCCCCACGCCCCTCGGGGCCACCGGGCCACCGGCACCGACCCCCTCCGAGGGTTGGGGGTGTCTCCGAGGCCCCGAGGGGGCATGCCAGCCCCCCGGGGTGGAAGCCACCGGAGCCAAGGGGCCCCCCGCACCCTCGCAGACCCTGCCGCCCGCCTGCCCGCCGCATCTCCCCGTGAACTCTATTTCTCTCTCCTCTCGGAAAACAACTGAGCTGTAAATACTGTTTAACCTTCTCCCCCCTCCCCCCAGCCCTCCCCTCCGCACTATAAAAACACAAATATGCCATAACTCAGCGGCCGGCCGCCCAGCCTCCAACACGCCCCGCGCCCGGGCCTCTCGGAAGGTCATTACAAACGACTTTCCGATTCACTGCTCCTGAAATAATTTTGTGTATTAAAACCTGAATCTGCACTTTCTGGGGCCGAAAGCCTCGCTTAATTATGGCGGGTGTCCTTGGGACGGACAGTGATCCTTCACGCGCCCGCCGCCGCCCCCCTCCCCGGGCCCAATCTGTTTTCAAAGTGTGTCTGTCCTTTATTAAATTGTTTTCTTTTCCACATTATCAGTTGCCATGGAGACCTC